TTAGGCAGTGTCCTTTAAGCTAATTCAAAATTTATAATGCAAGTGTATCTAGAATGTCTTTGTCCTTAATCTCTTCAAAAATAGGCTATTTTTAGCAGTAGATCTAAGGCTAGGACTGCTCTGTTGTGGGTGCAATCCTGTTTTTCCGTATCGCTATAAACATCTGCTTGGAGATCTCTGCCCAACTGCCACTGGCAGCATTTTGGATACAGAAGTCAAGCCTGCACGTGAAGTCACATTTGCCTTCTCCTATAGCCACAGCACATCCATCACATTCCTAATAAAGCAACAGCACCAGCTACAGAACAAAATGTTCAACTTGCACAACAAAGAAAAAAATTTCTGAGACACTTCCTAAGAACAGAGCCACTGTCCTATTGTTGCTGTGTTTATACACTACTGGAACAGGAAATCTTCTGAAGTGCTCTGATGAAACTTCTGCCAAGTCTTTAGCAAAAAAATCTAAACCTGAGGAAATTTCCTCCTGACCAGAGCACAGACTCTGAGCATGGACTTGGGAAGATACTGGGGCATTTTTAATGTAGCCAGAAATTCTGGGTGTCTGGATGGCTTCTGAAGCTCAGCAAACCTCTCAAGATATGTAGGACCTTGTCTGTAGCTGCTCCACCTTTGCCAAGGTTAAGGACAGCAATGTATGAGGATTACAAAGAGTCTAACTGCAAAAACTACTCCCTGTTAGTAATTTAACTTTTCATACAGACCCAGGAAGAGAGTATATAAACCTATTTATATGGGAAGTCATGACAGAGAGGACAGTATTTAAATTTACGTTAAATTTACATTCATACATTTATTGGTATTTCTTGCTGGTACTGCAGTAGGTGCTTCATTGTATCTATTTGCCTATAAAAGCTCTTGAGGGAAAAGGCCCCAACACTTGGCATAGGAAGAAATGTATCTGCTTTTTCTTTATGACTTATGACACAACTAAACTGGTGATTAGAGACATCTAATTATAGAACTTCAGATTAGATATGGACTAAATCAGCAACTACCTGCAGGCTGTATGAATTGATGTTGGATGAGGCTGCAGTGTCAGCAATATACAGATCATTTTGTCTAGAAGTAAATCCCAAAGGTCACGGACACAGTTTTGGTACTGCTGCAAAAACTGAGAGGTAACTCAGTCCATACTCCAGTGGTATAAGACAGAGACAGCACAGGGCAGCTGGAGCAAAGAACTAAGGAGAAGCACAAATTTAAACTGCTCTGTAAGAACAGCTCCAGTTACCTTTGCAGAAGGCTTTTCTGTCAGTAAAGGTGTATTAAAATCACTGGTGGTTTCAGGCATCACAGGTCACTTACCCACGTGTCCACTAAGTTTTAGAAGGTCGTCTTGGCAAGCTCAGTTCAATTAATGTGATTAAAGGTAAGGCTTCCTCTAAACTCATTATCAGAAATTTTGTCAGTATTTTCTTGTGATGTTACTGTGAATGGAAATAGATCTGCAGCTGAAATACAGCACAGCACTCATTTCCAGTTTAACACAAGGGACAGTAGGACTTCTTGCACTCTCAGAGGACAAAGTGGCCCCGGAAAAGTGAGTCACCACAGACAGAAACCCTCCTTATAAGAGCAACTCCATCAGGTCTCTCCAGAAATCCTGCAGAAAATTCTCCAGGCTGGGCACTCTTCCCACTTTCATATTCTTAATTATCTAATTTACTGATAGAAGACATCAAGGCCTGCATGCTAAGCTACACTAATTTTAGATAACATAATATTTCTTCTTAATTAATCCAAAAGTATGTGTGGTGAGGTCTGCATATAACTTATAAAGATATTTCTAAAATTAGAAAATGCTTCATTAATATCATTGGATGATGTTTCTTTAACATCAGATGCCAAAAATTGTACATTTAAAGGACTTTTTTATCTTTCATCAGAAACTGTCAGCTTATTCTCCTGATTCCTAGAAATTTTCCTGGAGCTGGAACATGGTGAAGCTAATACACTTTGCACTTAGCTTGTTGAGTTCACATGTAAAATTGGCTGAGGTTTGCAATAAATCTGGAGAGGGAAAATGTCTGAAGAAAAAAAATACAATTCTTTTTCCACAACAGCAATTATGGTGGGGTTTTTTTCCTTTTCATTTCTTGGCAAATGAGGAATTAATATTTGTACTCTGAAGAAAACTATTGACCCACCTATCAGGACTTATCTTTTCTCCAGGGACAGAGGAAGAAGAGAAATCTGGATAATTTCTCAATACTTTGAGAGATCTGGATAATTTCTCAATACTTTGAAGAGTGTAAGCCAATAATAAAATCTATATTAGACCAATCTGTACAGTAGAATAAAAGGTGCACATTCAGTAGTTTCTGTTTGTTTGGTATAAGAGTTATTAGATACTGCAGAACCAAATGTATTCCATTGTCAGAAGAGTTTAGTGGTTTATGATTTGGGATTTGACTGCAACTGTAAAAAAGATCTGTCAATGAAGGTAGATTACAATCACAGTAGGAATACAGAGGTCAGCATATCATACCCATGGAAGATCTTTTCTCTGAGTATTAACAGTGCTATTCAGATTTAGTCTTCCAGGCTTGATGGCTTCAAGTTTTAAAAATCCAACGAAATAATCTGAAAGTGCCTCAGTGAGTTGTCCACCTGGATCTGGCTGATGCTGCAAAACACTACTTCGCCATCACCTTCTCACTTCTCAACTTCCCATGGGCTAATTCTGCCTCTTGTAACAGCACCACATCAGTCTTTATTCACTTTAAGAACAAGACAACCTTTTTCTTTTTACTTTGGACTGTAGAATCTCTCTACATTCAAAGACATGGAATTGAGATTTGGATCCATTTGACTATACTAAGAATTACTTTTATTCAGTTTCTGTGGACTGAAAAAGATGAGGGAACACTTGAATCATTTCCTTTACCTCACCCCAACTGTAAAAATCTCCCCATGTGTTGATTATGCCCAAGAATAAAATGCGTTCCTTTAGCCAGCACTGAAAGCTCTGTAGTCCAGCAGATGTATCTGGAAGCCAAACTAGCTTCATGTGCTTCTGCTTTAACATGTCCAGCCCAGTATTTATTGCTGCAGTTCCCTGAACAGCACCCTGCTACCTCTTCAATTAGCACCACCATTATTTTTAGGGATCCAAAGTTCTTTCAGTTGTGGAGTATGCACATACAGACACACTCACACACAATCCAGTAAGACAAATTTGTCATTTGGATGAAAAAAAAAACATCACAAAGCAGGCTGCCCTTTCATAATATTTTTACCAACAATTTGAGACTTTCCCTTTTTTTTCCCCCGACTCAACTAATTATGAAGAAGGATGTCTAAGCTACTGAAATGCAGAAAACCCAAACCACATCTTCATGTGGTTAAGTTCTCAGCATATGAATTCCTGAGACTGATGTGAATCTTGATTTGACTTAGTTAGTATCAACAAGGAACTTCCACTGAACATCAGACAGGATCCATTTAGTCTGGGCTCAAGGAAACCAGCATTAACTACCCTGAAAAAGTAATTAACATAATGCAAAATAAACAATTCCAGAATAGCCAGCCGGGAAAGAAACTTTCCTCATAACCTCAGGCAGTTAATTTATTGCTTACTTGAAAAATAGCAGTTTACATCTCTTACAGTGAAATACTTCAGACAACATGGACTATTCAAAGGAACTTAAGGGACAGAGAGGCTTAGCTCTTACTCAGCCTTAGTCACAAGTAAGCTTAATTTGCTTAACTTCCAAACCTCAGAGTTCTCCATTCTAGCCAGCACACATGTGCACATCCTTTTTACAAGACAAAACCACTAATTGCTCTCATCCATCCCATCTGAATGGGATCTCACTTGTACGTTCTCTGCAGAACAGCACAAATTTCAGTTCAGACAGAATTAATTATTGCTGTACCAACTGGCTTGCCCTTGTCTAGATAAATGCTTATCAAAACTTGATAACAAACTGGTGACATCCTCAAAATATATTTTGTTCTTGGCATAATGACGAATTTGCTGCGACTGACAGCCTGGCCAGACACACATTGTTCTTCAGCGATACCTAGCATGATAACTAATACCAGTGTAAAGTGAGTCACATCTGTAGCTGTTTTACCTGGAAGAGTTGATTAAAAGGATAAGAAGATGAGCTGTATTTATCAGGCCCCCTTTATTACCTCTTAACTTAGAAAATGATTGATTGGATAGTATGGGAATGGAAATGTGTGAGGCAATGTCACAATAACTGCATCTCTTGGACACGTCCTGTTTAAATGCATCAAACTCTAACCCAAATACTTTGTCAAAGTGGGTGACAGGTTCACACTTGGCTCAGTGCTGCTGGTTTCAGTGCATCTGAAAGCAGACTCACAGACTGTGGTGTCTAATTTACTTGCAAAATCAAAGAATTCCGATTTCAAGGGTTTCGTTTAAATGAAAATTCAGATTCTGGAGAAGAAAACAAAACCCACTAAAACAGGAAGGATGGTATTGTGGTTAAGTTTCTAGTATAGGGCTGTGAAGACCTGAATTATGTTCCATTCCTAGCCCTTCTGCAGACTATCTCACTCTCTGACTTCAGGCAAATCACTGAATCTCTTGGTGCTTCAGTTCCCCTTTTCTAAAGATGATGTTGGTGATTTGATCAGTTTAGATACCGAGCACATTCATGTAAGAGCTATCATGTACAGTATCAGCACAAGACAAAAGACAAATAGTCAAATATGACTCTATTTACTGCACCATTTTTGCAAGAAAAATAGCAATTGTATATTAATTCCCATACTGATCACGCACTTACTGTACCAAACTCTAAACATGCTGTCCCACAGACACATTGGCCTATCCATTAATCCAGACTCATAACAGAATCAGTGTCTCCTTCTAGACTCAAAAGCTAGGAAAAAGCTAAAATGGGGAGTGCCTGCTGGTTTCCTAAGCCTTTCAGGTTTTCTGATTTTTTTTTTTTTTTTTCCCCCAGAGGACTGTCCCTGCAGTGGAGATGAATTCAGCAGGGTGTGGAATGCCCCATAATGGAATTTATACTGGGGAATACCACACATGGTATCACAACCTCATCCCTCCTGGTGGTTTCAGAGGGTAAGGAAAGGCTTGGAGCACAAATAGAAAAAGCTCTGCCTGCATTTGCTGATAGTTTGGCTAAGAGTGTGGGGTTTGGAAAACTAACCAACAGGCAAATGTCTCATGTATTCCCAACAGAAACAGTATTCACCCACCTCCAGATCCATCTTCAGCACCATGTTTTTTCTCTTGCTGCCTTCTGGTTGATCTTACCTGGCATCCCTATTCCCAGGGCTTTCTAAACAGATTCCCTGTCACCTTTGTCCTCTTTCTAGCCAGTAAGCCATGCTCCTGCTGCACTAATGCCCAGAAATTCCTCTGAATTTTCTGTCATTTTTCAAAACAATGTTTACAAAATATAGGGCTAAGGATTTTCATTTTTAACTAAAGCTGAGTTTCTTCTTTATCCTAACTTTCGGAGGTTTACTGATATGAACCTTCAGAGCAAAGCATTTACTTTCCTGCTCTAGAAACAAGAGAGAAAGGAAGATGGGGTAATGTCTCCCAATAATTTTCTTTCCAGATTTTGCTTCTTTCTGAGCACGGGTCAGAATCACCTGGACTGGCAGCAGTGCTTTCACCTTCAGTCCTTTATGCAGAGATGCTCCCCCAGATGCTCTGTCCAGCAGCTCGGCCCTGGTTCCCCTTTCGGTACTGCCCTCTGCTGGGTACCGTGACCGCACCCTGCGGGATGCCACTGGCACGGAGCCCCTCCCAAGGCACACACTGCCGGGGGTTAAGGCAAGGGAGAGGATGCAGGAAAGGAAACGGAAGGATGGGAATGGAGAGATGCAAAACCAAAACATGAGTGGGTAAAACTGAAGATTTCCCAAGAAATCTCAATTTGTGGAACCCTCACATCTAAACCCTCAACTCCTATCACAGAAACTTCATTCGCTAGGCAAATCTCCTTCGCACACTACAGCTGAAGCCCATTTCTCCTGGGCAAGCCTTTCTAAGGCACTTCATGGAGCACTTACACTATGGTTCACATAGGGATGGTGTCAAACTCCATGAGCAGCAGCCTGACACATTTGGCTTCTGGTGTCCAAGCTGGCAGGTTCACTCCATCATTCTCCTCTGTAAATGGGAGTTCACCTACCCATTCGAGCCTTGCCAAGCTCTGAAGCTTTGCAACTGGATATTATTACCACATTCCTGCTCAGTGAACACGACTTATTGGATGGACACTTTGTCAGCTGCACTACTCAGCCCATGGCAGACTGCATGTGCACCTGCAGGATCTTTCTTTCCCCTGTGATCTTACAAAATTAAAAATTACATGAGAGTGAAACAGCTTTCCTGGCACATCTACAGCAACCTTCAGCCAACTCTCTCTCATGTGAGAAACTCGCATCCCAATGTGTTGCATTACAGCCATGAAGCGCTCTGCCCCTAGAAGCCACAGCCAGGGAAGGAGCTCGATGAACGCTCTGGGGGCTGGGGGAGGAGTTAAAATAATCTGAGCTGTACTTTTGGTTTTATTTACCTTATCTTGACAGAGTTAAGCCCTTCAAAACCCTTTTCTTTGAAGAGCTGGGGGAGGAAGGAGACTTTGTCTTGCCAAAGTACTTTAAGTTTTTAAGGGCAAGGCCTGGCTGTAGTACCTGTGTGTACACCAACAGTGCCATATCCAAACCAGCCATGGAATCTACTCCTGCATGAAGCACACTATGCCAAAGAGTGGCAATATTGCATATTCAAATTCTAAGGGAAGTTTCAGTTTCACCAGTCCTTCATGCTTTTTCTTTATACAGTAAAGCAAATGAGCTTCCTCCAGCAGATTATGCCAAACCTTGACTAAAGCTCTGATGCTCAAAACTTGAGAGAGGTGTCTGAGCATAAAGTGAATCTCTGTGCAAGGACTTAAAATTAATGACACACTGCTTCTTCAAATTCATGGCAACTATGCTCTTGCATGACAGAACATAAGCAGTAAATTTTGGTAGCTAAAACATCATCAGAAATTTCAAGATTCACCTATTGTACACAGGCTGCACATCACTGTAAGGCGCTGTATTGCCATCAGGTTATGTCAGTCTGTGATCACACTGGATTTTGAAAAGAATATTTAGTCTCAAAGCAAGAAATACATTTCCTCAATTTCATCCCAAAGGACAACTCACAAGGCATTGCCATCCCGTCTCCCCTTAATCACTTGACAGAGACATTTCCTTTGCATTGCCACAAAACATCATATTAACTACTTGGAAACTTCTTGACCTCTAAAATGTGGTGGTTAACTAAGAAACATCCTCTTTGGAAGAAAGCACACTTTACTGGGCCTGCTTAAGGGAGCACATAAGATACGGGTATGGTATTTGAGGTTTCAAATCTCCTTCTGGGTGAGCAGGAGAGCATTCCAAGTCTCCTGCACTGGCTACTGGCAAGGTTATAAATATAGCTGGGATTTGAACAACTACTTTTAATTCTGATTACTCTGGAGAAAACCCCAGGGAAATTCTGCTTTAAGAACTCAAACCCCATTGTAGCTTCTTTACAGTCTTCTCAGTGGAAGGATCATAAGCTTCTATGAATGCTTTTTGTACTTTGAGATTATTGGCCTAATATTTTGTCCTTTCTTTTAAGTTATACATTAAGTCCTCTTACCTCTTCTGTCCATGTTTACCTGTTAGCTCTGAGAAGAGCAGCTATTTTCACGTTAAACCACCCCACAGTGGTTGCTTGCTTGCTTTTCTTGCCATTTCCCCCGCACGTTTTGAGGTAGCTTCCATCAGAGCCTCTTCCATCACCTACCTCTAGTGTCCCCTGGACTCCCTGGGGCCTCAGAGGGCTTTCGTGCTCGGATTTCCCCCGCAGCACCTCTCGACTCTGTCCGCGGCCAACGCCTGCTCCAAAGGGGCTGTCTGGAAAAAAAAAAAAAAAAAAAAAAAAGGCAAAAAAAAGAAAGAGTAAACCCAGATGTAGTCGGATAGAAGAAGAGAGGTTGAACAGCATCCCCAGCGGCGGGGCAAGGAGCCCGCTGGGCGTTCTCCGGGAGGCGGTGCTGCCGCTGGCTCAGGGCCACCAAGCCTTTGGGAAACGAAAGTGAACGTGGGCCACCGTCTTTCCGAGAAGGCGGGGAGGAGCCGAGCGGAGCTCCGCCGCGTTAAATAAAAAGCCGGGGCGATGCGCGGCCCCAGAGCGCTGGAGGGGCCGGGAGCGCTGCAGGAGTCGCTCGCCCGCCCGCCCCGCGGCAGCCCCGGCTCGCCGCGGCGCCAGGCAGGGCCCCCGCCGGAGGATGCCCGACCGGCCTCCGGGGCCAGGACCAGGACTAGCAGCAGGACTGGGACTGGCAGCGTGTGCTGCGCTCCGGGGACGGCCCCACCCGCGGCACCCCGAGGTAAGGGAGGGTGTCTGCCCCGGGGGGTCCGCGCCAACCGCGACGTGCACCGAGAGGGCTCGGGCGCCGCAGCCCGATGAGCTCAGGTTCCGCAGGAGTCCTGCCAGCTGTGCCAAGAGCGTGGCGGCTTCGGGAGTCTTTGCCCTTTGATTTATTGCTTTTTTAAAATACATTTTTCCCCTCCCTTTTTGGCTCGGTGTCCGTGCTCAGACAGACCTGTCGTGCCTGGTGTAAAACAGTAGGACAAGCACTAAAGGGAACACGCAGAAGTCTCCGCTCCGCCGCACTCGTGACACCCTTGTCCCAGATCCCTGCCCTGCCTTTCGGGCTCCAAAGACTGGCGTGTTCCCCGTTTGCTCTATGAGCTTCGGAAAGGCACTGCAAACTCTCGCTTGGCTCCCTACGGCTTCTGCTAGGGAGCCCTTTGATTTTTAGATCGCGGGCTTAGTGCTTATTTTTCCCCAGGGTGTCCTGAAACTGAATTTTTAACTTTAAATACTGAGCGATAATCCTGGCTCAGTAATTGGAAAAACTGGCATCAGTTTCCTTCTGTGCAAAACAAGCCCAATGCTACTTTCAGCCTGTTACTTACCAGCTAAAGGATTTTATAACCCTCATAGGTGCTTGAGGAAATAATATGACCTAAATGAAACTAAACATCAAGTTGTTAAATTAGCACAGACAGGAATCCAGCGGCATGCTTTCTTAGAAATCCTCATTAGCATGTTACCCTGAACTGTGAGACAACTGAGGGATTCATTTCTGAGAATCCTTCAAGGTTTCTCAACAAGCTGCTGCTGCAGATCTATATCTGACTATAGGGATAAATCCTAAAATCTATGCTTGCCAGTAAGGTCAAGGCAGCCAGCGGAGATGTATTGAACCACACTGTCAGAGGCAGACATTTCAGGCCAAACTCATTCCTGGTGCAGCACTGCTAATTCCTTTGAAGTAACACGAGGGATGAATTTAGTCCCTCATGTTGAAAGATATATCAATAGGAAGCAATTTAGATTGGGCCACTTAAAGTGCATGTGATACAAAAAAGAGAGAGAGACTGTGGAGTAATGCTTTAAGGGTTCACAGAGGTTGATTTGTATAAGCTAGTAGGTTGTAGCATTGCTGTCCCAAGGGAAACTTGAGAGAATGGAAATGGCCTTTTATGGCTGAGCCTCAGGTTAACAGGAGAGAGGAAAGAAGTTTTAGGATTACTGTGTAAATTGACCGTGTTACAGGCTGCCCCTCCAAGTTACACCTCAGCCATACAATGGAACCTCATCTCACCTCACTCTCTTCCCCAATTTTCTAGGAACACAGCCTTCATCCACTTTCTCTTTTTCGATACAATGCATGCACCAAATAACAACATTGTGTCCTGAGTTCTGACATTGTAGTTGGGAAGGCAGAAAAAATAGTAATTCAGTTGTAAAACCTTGTTGATTTGTTCCTTAAAAACTTGAGAATGGGAGAGGGTATCCATGAGAAGACTTCTCATTGAGAAGTCATTTGTGTTGCTAGGCCCTGAGGGCTCATGGCAGGGAAACTTATTATCTTCTATAGCTCTTAATGATCCTTGCTAAATATTTTTGGAGTTTTGGAGTTTGCCGTAGTGATAGGCTGCTAATCTCGTCCAAAAGAGAGCAGTTGTTTGCCTGGTGTAAACTGGAAAATGAATATTTTATTACTTTATAATGGTGGGAGGTGTATCAATGGAAGAGCTGGTCATTCAGCGATTGCCGCCGGCTGTCCCTGGGGATCGATCTCACACGGTCTCTCCTTGGCATTTCAGAGTAGCTGCTGGAAGGCCGCCCTGCCGTAGCCGCTGACGCTATGGAAGACCGCATCCGCTGCTCTCGGCTGTAGGATGGTAGCGCACAGCAAGGTGTCAGCAGATAATGCACTTGGAGCAGACCCAAGAAGGCTTCTTGACCCTCCGGCACGGGATTGCTCACAGGCACGAGGCTTCCAGGGCCCCGGCCGGCCCGGCACTGTGCAGGCACAGGGCAACACACACTTCCGAACCTTTCGCTCCCAAGCGGATTTCAGTAGCATCACTCGAGCCAGCAGCCTGCTGGATGCCTGTGGCTTCTACTGGGGGCCTCTGACTGTCAGTGCTGCCCACGAGAAGCTGAAGTCTGAGCCCGAGGGCACCTTCCTCATCAGGGACAGCACACAAAAGAATTGCTTCTTTGCCATCAGTGTTAAGACTGCAACTGGGCCCACCAGTATCCGGATTAACTTTCAGACCGGGCGTTTCAGCCTGGATGGCAGCAAAGAGAATTTTGACTGTCTTTTTAAGCTGCTGGAACATTACCTAAGCTCCCCTAGGAAGGTACTGGTTGCCCCCCTTCGCAAGGTCCGGGTGCAGCCACTGCAGGAGCTCTGCCGGAAAAGCATCGTGAAGACTTTTGGAAGAGAGAACTTAAATCAGATCCCACTCAATCCTGTTTTAAAGGACTACCTGAAATCCTTCCCATTTCAGATATAAGTGCAGCATTAACTGTATAGGGACACATTAGACATGTGTAACGAAATCCATCTTCCTGGGTTTTTAAATATGTTTGACAGTGAGCAAACTTATTTTTGTAGCAGTTTACTGTATTTTGTGATGGAACCTGAACACTTGACTTCGTATGTTTACAAAAACTGTTTGCACAAACCTGGGGTTTTAAAACCCTGGCATAATTTTTCTGCCAAGCAGAATATTTTACTATTTTATAATATTTTTAATGATATTAACATAATAAACTTTATTGTCACAGTTTTAAAAAAAATAGCATCTCTGTTTGTAGTTTTAAAGGCTCTGGCACCTATCCTGCTGGCAGACTAACTGCTTAATTGAGTGTGTAAGTGCAGACACGTCTCCACAGGTCCTGCTTCTTTGCCCTAGCAAATTAGTCTGTCTTAGTGCTGGTCCAGCAGGCAGAGGATTCCTGCCTGCAAAAGCCTACAACAAAAAAGGGCAAGCTAGTAGAAAATATACTCAGGGTGAATCTGCCCAGGAATCCACCTCTCTCCTAAATCCATGAGAGCAGGGACAAAGTATTAAGGCTGCAGTGATGCATAGTTTTTGACAGAGCAAATCAAACCATTGTCTGAGCAAACTCCACCAACACTGGTTTTATTTCTGTGGAAAGGTGCAAAACCCTAAGCTAGAAAACGTTGCTGTCTGAAATAACCAAACCCCATGAACATCAGTGGGGAAAAAATAAAACTGTCCAGAAATGCTCTTCACACACTTTTGAAGTCTGTGAATGCTGTAACATTGTGGTACACTGGGGAAAGGATAGCTTAGTTCCCTTTAAAAATTTGCATACACAAATGGCAAAGGTGCAGACATCCTTAGACATAAAAAAGATGTTTGTCATCTTAAATTCCTCCTGATCTACAGAGCAGAGTTTGGCACGTTAAAAGAATCTATGACGTAGCTCCGTGACAGGATCCAGAGAACATCAGCCTCTACATTTGCAGCTGTAATTTTTAGTGGCTAAGCTGCATTCAGAGAAAGTTAAACTACATTAACTGTTCTGTTTCCATCTGCTCATGAAACACAAAAACAGTGCCCCCAGAAACTGCAGCTGTGAATGACCTGAAATGCCTGATTTGGCAAAGTGTCACCTGCATTATGAGAAAGTGATTCTCCTCTCCCCCAAGCATTTCCTGAAATCCATGAAAAGCTGACTTAGAGAAACAGCTGAACCAAATCACTTCAAAGAAGGCACAGTCTTTCACAGAAATGTACTCTATCAGCCCAGATCTACAGTGCTTACAGGAACTGCAAGCAGTAACTGAAGTAATCTTCAGAGTTTGGGAGATAAAAGATCTCTCCCCCTACTGTAATTCACATTCCTTTTAAAGATAAAGCCACTTTTAGGAGACACTGAGTGTATGTTCTGTAGTGATCCTTACTGAATAGTTTGTTTAATATTTATCAAATCAGCTCTTACTTCATTGATGTTTCTTTGGAATAAATAGGTTTCCTCCTCAGACATGACTAAGGATCACTCAGTGGACTGGACATTATGAAAAAAGGGAAAAACAACACACAGGCAGTATCATGTGAGTTTCTGGTGTGTTGCTTCCCTAAGAATATTCTTTGGATTAGTCCTAAAACAGCAGAAAGCATTTCTGCTTAATTCTAAAGCTGGAATTAGTTGTCAAATGATGCATTTTCCCACAGCAGCTGCAAGGATGTAAATTTGGGAAGTAGTGAATGCTGTGCTATGCAGCAGATAGGAGACTGGAGGAGGCTACTGCCTGAATGTGAATACATTGTTAAATTGGAAAAAAAGTCTTTGTAGGGTGAAGGCTGCCAGACTGGTTTGCTGTCAGCAGAGATTGTTATCCCTCCCCCATACTCTTTTTCCCAACTCCACAGTAGTATCTTTTAACCCTTCAGGCTCTGAACAAGTGGCTCTTGCCCTGCTATACAGAAGAGTGCCCACATGACAGCATTACTGGTAGAACAAGCACAATGTAACTTAGGAGGTTCTCTGCTACCTCTGAGAAAACCAAGCAAAACTAGACCTAGATATAGGATAAGGGGCTTCCTGCTGAGAGCTGTGGAATGAAAAGCATAAGGATTGAGTGAATTTCATTTTCTTCCTGGCAGAAACAAACCTGTTTTCTTTCTCTCTTATACTGCTTTAGGGTAAGTTTAGCAGAAATAAGCCATATCCTCCCACATGAGGTGCCTAAATATCTTCATTTTGTCTTTATTATGAAATGCAAATATGGGATAGCTCAGAAAAAAATATATAGCCAAAACTATAAATAAGGACAAGAAGGTCAGAATTGTATAAAATGTCTCTTAAGAGGAGACAAAGCTGACTTGTATTTTTAAATTATATTATCTTTACCTGCCTTATTTTTCTTCCCTCCTCTCTTTCTCCCCAGCATACAATACAGTGGCCAGGTTGGGTTGCTCCAATGCAATAAGGAAATCCTAACCACAGGATGTGTGTTCACAATATCACTCTGACTTTCCTTCTATAAGAGCAAATGAAGGGCTCTCTAAAATGTCTGCTTACCTGGGTACACTGATTTAAGAGTGATGTCACGCCTAAGGGGCACAGCATGAGCTTCCTGAAGATTTCTGTAGTAATTTCAGCTGTCAAATCTCTCATCCTCAGTTTTAATAAAGCACCAGCAAGGTCAAATAGGGAATTTACAGTACTCTGCACCTAAAGCAATAGAAATACGCAACAGATTTTACTCTCTCCTGCTAAATAGTACATAAAGAGTGGTGATTCCAGTCCCTTCCCCTCAGCCAGATCTTTCCTCTGACCTTTTGACTGTGGCTGAAAAGTAAACAGTCAATCTGTTAAAAGGTTATGGGAAAATTTGAGCCATGCTCAGGAGCACAGTAAAGCCATGCTTTTGAAGAGACTGCAATATTTACAGTGAGTGGGGAAGGGACAGCTTTAAAATGAAATATTTACAGTGAGTGGGGAAGGGAGAGCTTTAAAATGATGCCATTTGCAGCGTGGCTGTGTCCCCAGAGCAGCAGTGGGCTCTGAGCAGGGCCCTGCTGGACCCAGCCCTGCTCTGGGACTGCACAGGCCGCAGGCCTGAGGCCTCCTCACCCTTTAGCCTGAAACACCTTTTACTTTTTGAGTAGTTCAATTACATACAGTGCAACAGCTGTAAAACACTAACAAGCAGAGGAAATTAACAGACCTGTAGAAATGCAGAAAGCTGTTTGTTTAAGCTGTGGAGTGCTACTGAGTGCTCAGGAGGAGGAGGAGCTTGAATGCCAAGCAGGGCCTGTTCCCGTGCTGGGGCTGTGGTCACACTAATTCTGTTATGATTGAAGTCATTTACAAGAAACGAGGCTTCAGCTGCAGTCAGCACTGATGCTATTTTCAACAGAGAAGAAAAAAAGTGTCCCCTAGGGCAACACACTGCCCATAGTCTTTCCCCCCTCCCCGCTGGTACCGATCCTGTGCTGAACAGCACATCCACCTCCCGATCTCCTCAGGTCCAGGCTCAGCCCTCCCTGCTGTGCTGGACTGCCATTCAGGCCCTGCCTCTCCTGCCACTCTCCCTTGCTGCCAACAGCTGTGTGAGCAATGTATTTATTCATTGATTCCACTGGTTTGAGACAAGGCAGTGTAACAGGGACTTAATTTGGACTTTACATGGCTTTCTGTGAAAAGTGTAAGCTAACAACTGCCCGTGCCCCAAGTTTCCAGGAAGTTTCTCCCAATTGCCACAAAGTGCCATTCAAGACCTTTCATTGCCTCTGACTTGTCATACTTCTGCATAACACAGATCCTGTCACTGTGTCTGTAGTTTTCATCCACAGCTGTTTCCCAGTCCAGCAGCCAAATTTACAACACCCTAGTCTAATTTGCTGCTTGTGTCACCATGGAATAACAGCAACATGGTTCAGCAGGAAGTGTAAAGAGAAGCCCAGCTTCTCCCACACAAACCACTGCCCAAGTAGGGCAAAGCAGCAAAGGGCAGAGTCAGAATATAAACTCCTGACTGACAGACAGCTGAATTATCCATTATGAATTATGCCAGAATTATTTCCCCTCTGCAGCTCAATGACATGCTTTGGATGTAGCTATTGAAGACAAGAATGATAGATGATTGTGCATAGCAAAACAATTTCTCTATAGTCTTCAGCTATGAGAGAAGCAGATACACTGTGAAGATGAAATATCAGCCAAACAGAATGAAACAAATAACTAGCTGCACCATAAACCCCATTTGCCCAGTTTCGTTCATTCTGTTCTTTTTAGCATGGCAAAGTAGGATCACCTTTCTGTTGTCATTTTAATCTCAGTTACTCTTAATTTCAGTTATTCTTTATAGCTCCTAGCCATGTAAAATAATGGTAAATCTGGTCATCACTCTTAAACGGGTACAGAAGATACCATCCAAACATCTGTAGCAAAATTTTAGGTCCACTGAAATCAATTGCCAGGGAATGGCTGACTTTTCTGCAGATAGTTTTATTAAATAACAGTATCTTTTAAAAATTAAATGCAATAGCTATGATTGCATCACAAAGATTTCTTACTTGATAGAGCCTCAACAAATTCACAGGCTGAGAATGCTCTGTTTTGATGCTGTGAGAATGTACACAAGGTTGTGTGCAATTTCTTATCTCCATTCCTTGCAGCTCTACAGAGTATTTGCAAATCAACTCTGCGCCCTTCAAACTGAAACTGCCCTTCAAACCAAACTTTCCCCAAATCAACTTCCCTACAGCAGAAACTAATTATTACTGGAATTTGAGTCAGATTGAACTTTCAGGCTGAGATTTTAGGTCTCCTGTCTGGGATTTGAACAACTTCTGGTTCCTAGTCTGAGCACTGAAAACAGAAGATAAAACATTGTTCCCAAAATGTTACAACACAGACTCAACTGAGACTTACAGATTTTGTAATTCTCAGTGTAATAGTCTCGTTTGGTTATTTCTTGGCCTGCCTGTGTACCATCACTGTTCAGACAGCCTAGACAGATGTGGAGGTGGAACCGGTATATCCTAGAGACTCATGAAACTGAAGTAGGATAGGTATTATCTCTAACATTATCATTAGGATGAATTTGGGAGATAAATCTGCTACACAACAAGTAAGGTTAGTAGCTGCTTTCTTAGCTCTGCCCAGATAAAAAACAATAAACCTTTTTGCTAGACTTTTCCAGCATCTATTCTACATACACAATCTGTTCAGAAATAACTTTGACAAATGTTTCTGAAATTATTTTGTCTTCTGTCACACTTACATTCCCATTTGCACTCACCAGGTCAGTTGTTCACACCAGCTAATTTAAAGAGCTGAATTAGATGAAAATCAGAAGCTTTCAGAAGTTGCCAGGACCGGTCAACTAGGTGCCTAAAAGACCCTGTGTGAACCCTTCCTCACATTTCTCCCTAGTTCCCAGCAAGGTCAGCTATACAAAATAAAATTAAGTGAGCCATGACAGCTTTATGAGTGTTATATACAACTACTTTCTGTTTAAAATAAACTGAAACTACATTTCAGTACCTCAAGCCTTTTTCAGGCTGAAATAGGATCTTCCCTTCACAAGTACAGAATATTCTTTATCTAATCTCTCACAGTCAGTCAACAATTACACGATTAACGGTAAATCCATCCTGGTCTAAGACTAAATGTGTTATGTATAATTCACTCTCTTATGCAAATGCAGGTATTTTTGGTTTGAAGAAGCAGAAAATATTATGTTTTTGTAGGAAAAGGAGAAAATTTTTGTCAATATTTGTAAAACTGGCAGCCAACAGGAGCTTTTCACATTACAACAGCATAGTAGTCCTGAGCACAAGTACACTCTTGTAGCCCAAGCTCTGCAACGTATCAGGTACCTGTTACCCCTTGTATGTGTTCAGCATGCACCATATTTGTATAATTATATGCAAAGTAGATGGTGCCTTTCTTAAATAAAATCTTTCAGTTCCAGTATTCTCAGGCCAGTACATTTTACAATGTAATTTTGATTTTCATACAAGTTTCTGTCTACTGTAAATTTTCTCATTACTGTTGCTGCACAGAATAAGCTGAGGCTCTGTCAAGCTGAGCTGTGATAGCCACACCATCAACCTGCTGTTCAACCTCAGTTTGCTACAGTCTTCCTCTCTATAGATGCTGATTACAGAGGTTCAGGTGTACAATGGCATTTATAACCAATATTGTTCTTCTAATTTGTCAGCTATGGTGACAATGATTCCGAGTTTGTGGTCTATACAGAAAAGGAGAAAAGGCTGCAGTGAGAGAAAAGTTTGATCTGGCAGGGAAATCACTACTGGCCCAGGGGGCAGAGCTGTCTAAAGCACCCCAAAGCTCATGCAGAGTGTTGGAGCACTCAGTACTGTGGTGTACTCCTGACAGCTGGGATGTGCATGTGCTGCTGTAGCTCCTCACCTCATTGAACAAAGCACTTCACTCCTTTCTGGAATGGATAACTGAGGCAACAAGAGTCTAGAAGCATGCTCAGAGATGAATGTTTGCACACAGGGACAGTGATTCCTCCATCATCCTCTAAAGCCTGAGAAGCCAGAGACAGCAAGCACCTCATGGCGTGGTGTGGGTGACCTTCTCAAATACCCTGTTTTTCTTTAGGGCCATGGCTGTCATGGCTGAGGTCACATTGCCATTTAGGGATGTTGTTAAAGGATTTCTCAATAGAAATCCCTTAATTCAATAGGCTGCAGTGTCATTTGTCCTTGGGAATTAAATAAGAACATCTCACCTAATTTGTGTGTCGCAGTTGTAAAAGTCTCAAGCACTGGTGAGACTAAATGTCTTCAACTTTGTGCCAGGCACAACACAGTTCTGAGTACTCCAGCTTAGTACAGAACACACCTGGAACATGTGGTAAGTTCTAATATGCAAAATTGAAAGAGTAGCCTACTCTGGCTTTGAATTTTAGGAATAGGAGCCATGTGTATACTGGTCAGAGGGATTTTGTGTGGAGTCTAAATGCAAAATAAAGGAGGTCAGCTTTTATTTTAGGAGCAGTGGGAAAGAATGTGAATCAGCAGGGCCAACTGAAGCCGTAAAGCACAAAGGATGATCCAGTTAGGCACACAAGTACTTGGGACAGGAAAAGAAAATGGGAAAGATCAGAAATCCAGCCCTTGGCTGAAGTGCTACTGAAATGAGGCTTAGACTCTGAACTCCAAACAAGGAAATTTTCTCTTGCCCTGTGATTTTGGAATCTTGCATTATAGAATTTGAACTCTGCCAGCAATGTATTATTCTATACATGATACTACTTTACTTGCAGTCTCCCCCAACTGTTATATGGATAATTTAGTCTGAATTTTCACAGCACATAACAGAATGTGTACTATCTTTTTTTTGGACCCTTAGACATCACTACAAGTGCCTTAGTAATAGAGTACTCAGTAAAGAGAGATTTGACCTTTATTTCAGTTCATTAAGGCCTATTCTCTTTCTAGTCCTTTTACAGCTGCCCTGCTGCAACAACAGCAAACTTTGCATCTTTTTGACAGTAGAATAAAAGTCTCTTGACACAAACCCCCCCATGCATTTATTTCCTTACCAGTGCATGCTCTAGTCCTGGAAGTCTTACTGTAATACACAAATGAATTTAGGAAAAGTCTTTATCTCTAGGGTCTAGAAGTACAAAGGCCTAGCTAGGTATCAAGAAATACTTGCTGATTATTCTCTCATCTATCCAAGTATTGTTTTATACCTGCCTTTAAAGCAAATGTGTCTAACGAGGAAGCCATTATCCTTGTGAACTGCAGTCTGCACTGTGTATCATTTTATTATGCTTTGGAACTAATTAAATCTAGGTAATCTTTCTTCCCAATAAGTGTAATTTATGCACTGTGTGCAAGACCATACTTAACCTTACTGCCAAGGTAAACACAGTGACAATTTCATTCACTGATCCTGAACTAGCTTAGGACTTCCAAATCTGCATTAAAAGACACAAGTGAAGAGTACAGGTAAAGCTATTTCTGTATACTAAGTATCAAGGGAGGACTACACAGTCCAGGGCTGCCTTTCTCACCCATCTTATTTTCTCCTTGCTCTCCTACATATTTCATTTCCTTTACAATTTCAATATAGGTTTAAGAAGACAGTGAGTTTAAAACGCAGCACATTTCACATAATTCCAAAATATACATTGGACCTGGAAGCTCAGATAGATAGGTTTTGGCAGTGACATTTCTAGTGGGGAAGAACAATCTCTTCTGACCCCCTGGAGTTTAAAATATTACTGTTTATCTGCCAGACATGGTGAGGAAGAGCTGACTGCTGCACTCGGTCTGCTGCACACCAATTATTATTTGTTGATGTTGAATATAAGCCCAGCTGAAGCCCAAGGGCAATTGTATATAAATGCTAAACACAACCCACATACACATTCCAAGCTGGTATAAATAGGCTTTGAGTGAAATTATGAGTGCATGTGTAATTCCATGAATGTTGTAGCTTGAGTGTTGGTCATTGGTGGAACAAAAAAAAAAAACCAAAAAAAAAAACAAACCCAAAAAACCCAAACAAACAAACAAACAAACAAAATAAACTAAAAAAAAAAC